TTATTGTTGGCATATTTCAGTTGTGTAATCCAGTTTATAACTTATGCTAAAAGATATTGATAGAAATATCCACCATAGACTTAGTCGTCATGCATTGTTAGTGTAAGCGTTACTAACGGTCCTGGATGTGTGTTTATCTGTGACGTATTCCGTAGCTAAGCTGCTAGTATTGTGGTTGTGCACATTTTAATTCATAAATTATTATTATACAAACTTGATAATTTTGTAACCAACAGTATCATACCTAACTTGTGTAGCATAATTGATATCACTGAGCCTAATTGATGTCACTGCTAGGAACCTTTGAAGAGTTTCGATAGTTTTCTACTTCGATAGCTTTTGTTATGGCCTGGCGCATCTAGTGCTTTGCCTGATCAACCAGGCTGTTGCTGTTGGCGGCCCACTGGTCCACATATCCAATTCAACCTGGTTGATTTGGTGTATTTTACACTTTCCCCCATATCTTTCAGTCCAGTATGTTATGACTAACATGCAGAGTTGGGACTAGGCTCTTTAGTACTTTCTGCGTATTTATTATCGCTAACTTAATTATGCAACATAAATGATGTCGCTTATTCCGTGATGTACATTGGTAAAATATTAACTATTACCCGAGTTCGCCGAGTATTAGTCTGTAAGTATAGCCACAGTACCATATAAAACAACTATTAAATGTAGGGTGGTGGATGGAATATGGAAAACAGCATTTAAATGTTGTGTTAATGAAATACTACCGATAAAGGTTGACAACGTTTTGTTAGGGGGTATATACAGTATACTTGTGATTTATCTGAACATATGTGAGAAATATGGGAGGAAGCGCAAAATAAACCCAGTGAGGAGCTGGGGTGCGGTGGGCACAATAAGGGAACACGTATCAACATTCGTGGCCCCAGACTATTCAACATCTTACCAGATGTCAAAAAAAAAAAGGCTGGAACAAGTGTAGAAGCGTTCAAGAGGAAACTGGACAAGTACCTTCACCAGGTGCCAGATCAACCGGGCTGTGATGGATATGTGGGGCAGCGGGCCTTCAGCAGCACCGACCTGGTTGACCAGGCAAGCACCAGACGAGCATAGCCAATGGCCGGGCTCGGAGAGTAGTGAGACTCGAAACTCATCAAAAGTAAAGGTATATTTCGAGGGCTTTTTACCTCAGCAACCCGGCCTAAGGCTAAACTGCTTTGTTGACTACATGGTTCAACCGGCTGTTCATACTAGCGGCCCGCAGGCCCACATAGCTACCACAACCGGGCAGATTCGGTACTTGTATAACCACGAGTTCACTGTAATCTCAAAATTAAGCATTAATATAGCCTCCGTATTAATGCTAAAGTGAACTGCAACTTTAATGATCCGCGTGGGTTCCATACTTAACAGTGGTGGTCTTACTAAATATGTAGCAGGGAAAGAGGTAAGATAGTAAGAAACGTTGTGTGGGTGTGAGAGGGTGTTGAGTGTTGCAAGGCCGGAACCACATAGTGAGTGAATCACCTCCACTACAGCCCTCTCAGGTGTCCCACCCCTCACTATCTCGCCTCCTGCTTCCAGAGCAGCCTCCCTTACTTCACTCATCACCCCTCTGGTAAGTCCTTGACTGATTTGTTAGGCTTAAATCTTTATCGGCTTTGCGCGATTATCTGTTTGTAACGCGGGTCATGTAAGTCCAATTTATCTATACGATAACAATTCTCTTATCTCTAAAATGGGGATTCGACTTTATTTAGACTTGTATGATATTTTGGGTATATTTTACGATCGTTACTCTGTCAATTTCGCCCATTAATTATGGTTTGAATTGTGAAATATTAAATTGATTTGCAGTTGACAGTGTTTTGTTGCGCAAATGGTAAAAAAGTATCCAAACTTAACCCATCAGCTTGGTGCATTTTTTTTTCTTTTTACACATTCAGAAGTCATGTGAGAAGATTCAATTCTACAGTAAGCGTTGATTGGCTGAGATGTGCTACGCCTCTAAAAATTATGTGCTATTTTCGCTGATATCACTCAAAATAGCAATTTACACAAGAAATAATTATTCCGTGGTGTATATAAGTTGTATATATTGTAAAATGTAAACTAATACAAGAGTTCCTCTGAGTAGTAGTCATATTTTGGTGTGTATATCTTGTGTATCCTTAGTTGTACAAACCCTTGCACTGAACCCCTCCAGACTTTCTTCACAAGTCAGCACGCCTCCAGATGGACAAGGAAAACTAACTAACCTCCGAGTGAACCAGATAAACGATATATGTAAATTAAGGCAACAGGGAAATTACCTCTCTCCCAATCAGTATTGCTCACTTGACCCCAGAGAACCTCATTAAAGTCGAATCTTCGTTTTGAAGCTAAGTATGATGTCTTAAGTGTATTGATGCCATAGTCACCAGGCATTCTTCGCCAAATTATTGATGGCTTTGTTCACTCACCCACCCACTGGTGGTGCTGTTGTCAAGTGGAGCAATGACTCCTATATAGAAATTAGAGCACGCATCAATAAATGGGCTTCCACCCTTCAGACTGAACTGTTTGCTGTTTCTTGCACTTATATGTGCCCAAGTATCTTAAGATTAACACCTTAATCGCGATTCTCTATCATCTGTAAATGATCTTAGCTTCACGATTGTCAATTGTGACATGCATCGGAAGTCAGACAAGAATTGTACAACTGTACACATTTTGTGGATTCTTTGTCACTTTCCCCATCTTTTGCATGATAAAACTGATGAATTAGCAAAGGCGTATACCTTCATGGCATTCGCCTTACAACTTTACGTTGTCAGTAATTTGAGGGCAACAGTGCGAAAACTTCAGCTAAATTTAAATAACTTGGAACAGAGGAAGAATGACACCAGTCACTCGATCAATCATCATTCTGTCATGCACGAGGAGCCATGTCTATGGCTCATCCAACAAAATCAGTAGACTTTGATGTCACTTCTGCTTGACTTTAGTTGGCTAGAGGTACGTATTTTGGAAATTTACACCTACCGTTAATAATTCTTAAATAACTCAACCACAAATAGCTACTGTTTAATGTTTTGTGACAAATGATGACCGTAAACTTGCTACTATTGCACTGAATTCTAGGGATGGGACTATACCAATTTTTTTGGCCGGTACCGATACTCAGTTTTAGGGCGAAACCGATACCATAAAAATTAGCCTATACTTACCGATACCAATATCAAAATTAGCTGATACTGATACCATAAAAATTAGCCAATACTCTGATACCGATATAAAAATTAGCCGATACTCGCTGCTCACCAACATGGACTGGCAAATATTTTGTTGCAGTATACTACCATCACTCGCTCGCAAACACCTAGTGCAGTCAGTCCAACATGTGTTATAAAGCTCTGTCTATTCTGTGTAAAGCTTCTTTTGATATTCACAAGATGTTTACTTCAGTTCAGGATAAAACAATGTAAATTGTGTAATTATCCATAAAACAAAAGTTCATATGTGTAGCTGTTTTGAATAAAAGTGGAATTCTTAACTAATGTGTCTTTTACATTATAAATATTAAGTGTTCGAGTAGTGTCTTGTGTAGAGCTTAGCGGCGGTGAATCAAGCCACTCTGGTTGACATGTCCACTTGTATGGTCTCCTGTATTAATATGCACTGCTTCTTTGCAATCATTTTCGTATCCAACTTTGATTATGGTCTAGTGTTGTAAAAAAAAAATTTTTTTACTGAGGTGTTTATTTTTTAAATTTGGCCATTCCCTTACTTTAGGTTGAGAGAGAGAGAGTGAGTGAGTGAAAATGAAAATGACTGAATTTAAAGGCTACAATTTTTACCAATTTAAATGTCAAGTCAAACCCCTACAAGAATATTGTAAACGAAGGTTACCTGGAGGTTATTCCGGGGATCAACGCCCCCGCGGCCCGGTCCATGACCAGGCCTCCCGATGGATCAGGGCCTGATCAACTAGGCTGTTACTGCTGGCCGCACGCAGTCCGACGTACGAGCCACAGCCCGGCTGATCCGGCACTGACTTTAGGTATCTGTCCAGCTCTCTCTTGAAGGCAGCCAGGGGTTTATTGGCAATTCCCCTAATGCTTGATGGGAGGCTGTTGAACAGTTTTGGGCCCCGGACACTTATGGTGTTTTCTCTTAGTGTACCAATGGCGCCCCTACTTTTTATTGGCGGCATTTTGCATCGCCTGCCCAGTCTTTTACTTTCGTAGGGAGTGATTTCTGTGTGCAGATTTGGGACCATTCCTTCCAAGATTTTCCAAGTGTAGATTATGATATATCTATCCCTCCTGCGTTCCAACGAGTACAAGTCAAGTGCTTCCAAGTGTTCCCAGTAGTTAAGGTGCTTGACAGAACTTATACGTGCAGTAAAGGATCTCTGTACACTCTCTAGATCTGCGATTTCACCTGCTTTGTATGGAGATGTTAATGTACAGCAGTATTCCAGCCTCGAGAGAACAAGTGATTTGAAAAGGATCATCATGGGCTTGGCATCTCTCATTTTGAAAGTTCTCATTATCCATCCTATCATTTTCTTTGCACATGCGATCGTGGCACTGTTGTGATCCTTGAAAGTGAGATCCTCAGACATTACTACTCCCAGGTCCCTTGCTCAATCTGTTGACTTATTCATGAAGATAGTTTGTTTTTTCTATATACAAAATTAATTACATCACCTTATTAATTTTTTTTTTAATTTCCTGATATGTGATATGAAAATGTACTAATTCACAACTTGTCAAGTTATTTGAGACTGACAGGGGAGAATATGCATATTGCTCCTAAACAAATAGCTTAATTAACTGATCAAATATAATATGGATGGGTTGACATTTATTATTTATCATTTCATAATTATTGGTTTTAGGTTATGAACACTGAAGTGTTCTGAACTGAAGTGTTCAGGTTATGAACACTGAAATGTTCATAACCTGAAATTACACTTGCATTGTTATTTTCTTACTTTTATGTATTTGCATGCAAGTTCACACATTACTAAGCATTATTTTTTTCAGGGCTATCAAGGCATTTCAACAAGTATTGTACATCGAACCTGGTTTCAGTCGAGCCAATGAAGTTCATCTCCGCTTGGGGTTAATGTTTAAAGTCCAAAGTGACTATGAATCATCACTGAAACACTTCCAATCAGCATTAATTGATGCTGGTCCAGCATCATTTTCTAAACTTGAAAGTAAGTTGATAAAAGAATTATTCAGCTTGTCATATTCTTTGTTGTTTACCAGAGAGCCACGTGGTGTATTATAATCACCATTTTGGGTATTAGCAAAAAAAAAAAAAAAACATAAATAAATAGGTCACTACATTCCAGGTTTGCCAGTTAAGCACAGAAGGTGAAAGTGATACAGCATTCAGAAGTAAAAAGGCCTAGAGGGAGGCCATTATATTGTATACAAAAGTTAAATTTTGAGTTCCAACCCCCCCCCCCCCTTATCTCTCTCTCTCTCTCTCTCTCTCTCTCTCTCTCTCTCTCTCTCAGGGTTTGACAAGGTTAGGTTAAGGATCCCTAGCTTTATTGACAAGCTATTTACAAGTTAAGGATTCCAAAATTTATTGACAAGCTAAGAGTTGTTACCTACATGATCTTATTTGAAAGCATTTTTATTGTTATGAAACATACATGTATGGAACAGGATGAAGTTGGAGCCATCTGTGGGCCAGCATTTTCATTTGATCAACTGACTTTATCTCATTTACATCATAATGCTGTAGGAATGTGTTCCAGACTCGAGTCTTCCTTGGGATAAATAATCTCAGATGAAGTGATGTTCTGGAGAAGGGTACAACCAGAATGAAGTTGCTGCTTTCTGCCCATCTTGTGGTATAGAAGCTTGCTTCTTGCTGTCCTCGAAGTGGAGCCAAGTGTGGTGCTTTGACAATCTTGGCCTTGTATATAACAGTAAGGCCACTCACATCCCTCCTGTGTTGAAGGCTCCGCTGAAATGACAGATCTATCCAGGATGGGTCCAAGCGAGAGAGATGAGACGTCTTGCTCTGTTCTCTACTCTATCAAGCAGTTGCAGATGAGAGGGGGGGGGGCAGGCAAACCAAGAAAGTGGAGCATACTCAAGGTGTGAGCGTACTTGTGCCTCGTACAGAATCTTGCCACCCCTACTGTCAAGCAGATGCGAGATATGTCGAAGTGCTGTAATCTCTCTCTCTCTCTTTACACAGGGTTTGACAAGGTTAGGTTAAGCATGGGCCAGTAGGCCTGCTGCAGTGTTCCTTCTTTCTTATGTTTTTATATTCTTAAGGATTCCTAGCTTTATTGACAAGCTATTTACAGGTTAAGGATTCCTAACTTTAATGACAAGCTAAGAGCTGTTACCTACATCAGCTCATTTGAAAGCATTTTTATTGTTATGAAACATAAAGGTAGGAAACGGGATGAAGTTGGAGCCATCTGTGGGCCAGCATTTTCATTTGATCAACTGACTTTATCTTGTTGACATCATAATGATGTACGAATGTGTTCCAGACTTGAGTTATCCTGGGGATAAATGATCTCAGATGAAATAATGTTCTGGAGAAGGGTACAGCCAGAGTGAAGTTGCTGCTTTCTGCCCGTCTTGTGGTATAGAAGTTTACTTCTTGCTGTCCCCCCCCCCCCTCGCTCCCTTTATTTCCCTCTATTCTTCCTTTTGACTTATGTCTCCCCTCACCCATTTTCTTCTAACTTTCCTTTCCCTTACCTCTCCCTCATTCCCTCCCTTTCCACTAGCCAATATTCAAAATATGTTTATATGATATCATGCAGTTTCCTAAGATACATATTATATTTATGTACAGAATAAATAAACACAATTTCATTCTCACACTTATTTTCTTTTACAGTTCAATTCCATGTTGCTCACTTGTATGAGCTTCAAAACAAGCACAGAGCTGCTCGAGAAGCATATGAAAACCTGCTAAAAGAGCCAGATCTTCCCAACCACCTCCGTGCAGACATCCAGCGCCAACTAGGATGGATGTACCATACTGTTGAAAGTTTGGGAGAGAAATCATACAGGGAACTCACTGCCGTACAATATCTGCAAAAGTCTATTGAAGCTGACCCTAAGAGTGGACAAAGTTTGTACCTACTTGGTCGCTGCTACTCTGCCCTTGGAAAAGTACATGATGCATTTATAGCATACAGAAACTCTGTTGACAAGTGTGAGGGCAATGCTGATACTTGGTGTTCTATAGGGTAAGTTTACATTTATGCATTTGTTTAATATTTATTTTTTTTTTTAGATTAATTTTAATTGATATTTTTGACCCATTACCTGTGTGCATAAAAACAAAAGAATGCAGAACTGCAGTAGGCATACTCTTCCATGCAAGAGAGGATCTACACTTTTAACCAATTTGTGTATCCGTCCGACCTCTTTTTAAAACTACCCGTATTATCTGATTCAGTGACATTAGTAACATTGCAAGTTGGCTCCAGAAAAGGGAGGTCTCCATTCTTATTCTTGATCTGTTATTGTCTTTTATGTTTCAACTCCATTTACTACTTTCACCTGCTAAAACTGCTTATTTTCTACTTTTTATGTGCCATTATATTGAGGGTTTACTGTACAGTAGGACAGCGGTATGCGCGGGTCAGGTTTCCACGGTTTCAGTTATTCACTGTTTACTGTGGCCTGAAAATAGCCCTTAATTTTGCTTAATAATAGCACCAAAGTGCAAAAATAGCAATGATAGCAGTTCTTCAAAGCCTAAGCGAAGCCCTGAAGTGTTTCCCATCAGTAAAAAACTGCTAGTTCTCCACTTATTGTGCGTAATTTATCGATTAAACTTTATCATAGGTATGTATGTAAACAAAAAACCACTTACATGTATATATATATTAGGTTCACTACTATCCGTGGTTTCGGGTATCCATGGTAAGTCTTGGAATGTATTCCCTGTGGATACAGGGGTCCTACTGTATATAGAAGGGACAAATTCCATCTGTCCACCTTTATGACTAAATAGAAACCTGGCTGACCAGTTTCAGGGAGACCAATTAGTTGGACTTTAAAGTCCTGGAGGTGGAATTGTTGCAGTTCAAGTCATATAAATTATGATTCTGTGTACTTTGGGGGAGAGGGCTGTTGAATAATGGTGATTTTTTTTTTTTGTCACGCTACCCTGGTGAGAGATGACCAGTGTATTGAAAGAAAGGGAAGAAAAATAAAATTTGCAAAATGAATCAGTATCATTAAATTGCAATGTTTTTCTGATTAACCTCACCATTGTTTGATATGTAATGTAGTAGGAAACTATAAAGGTTAAATTGCCCCATCAATGATGCTTGGCCAGTAGAATATGGAATGTGTAGTATTGACATTTTCCAAATATTTGGATCTGTAGTATTTATTTCTGTATTTATCTTTTCAGAGTGTTATACCAGCAACAAAATCAGCCTATTGATGCTCTACAAGCTTACATTTGTGCAGTACAATATGACAAAGGTCATACAGCAGCTTGGACTAATCTAGGCATACTGTATGAAACTTGCAATCAGCCACGGGATGCTCTAGCCTGTTATATGAATGCAACACGTGGTAGCAATAAACCTGTGAACCCCAACCTTGCGCCACGCATAAAATTTCTCCAACAGCAACTTGCAAATGCTCCCATGCCGAGTGCAGTAAACAAGCCTCGGCAACTGCTGAGCATTGAGGAGGCTTGGAACCTACCTGTTACAACAGACATGTCCAATAGGCAACAGGGCCAAAGCCAGGGGCAGCAGGTGTCTGGTCAGCAAAGATCAATAGCAGCTGGGGCCAGTAATTTCCAAAAGTATGGCCAGCAATTTGGCCCTGCAGGCTCAGCAGGGCCACCACCACCTTACCCAGCATCTGGTAATGATGCCAAGCGGTTTAAGCCTGATTTGGCTGGAGATCAGCAACGACCACACTTCTACCTCAATCAGCAACAGATGCAAGTATTGCATTATCAGCAGCAGAATCAAGCCAATTTAACACCACAGCAGCAGCAGCAACTACAACAGCTGCAACAGAATTACCGTCTCATGCAGCAGCATCAGATGAAAATGCATCAGCAACAGCAAATGCAGCAGCAGACGGTTGTGCAGGGCCCGCAGGTATCGCCAAGCCTTGGTCAACCTCCCAGTTTTGTTCAAGGTGGGCAGATGGCTCGTCCTGGGCAGCCTGCTGGTGTTCCAAACTATACACAACCAGCAACAAATGGGGTAAACAGAGGATTTGTAACCCAGAGACCTCAGACACCCACTACCAATTATAATCAACCTAATCAAGCATATTCTCAACCTTCCTCAACTGGTGGATACATTACCCAAAATCAATCATATACCAATGGGGGAGTACCAACAACTTCTGCTAGTTATGGTTTTAATAATGGCTACAATAACAGTAACCTGAATGAGGCATTACCCAAAGACTTAAGTGGTATTACACCAGAAACAACAGTCAGTGACCAAGAACTCCAGGAGCTTAAGGAACTCATTAGTCAAAAGGAGTTCACAACATCACTTGCAGAAGATTTATTGAATCGTTTAGCTCAAGGGGAAGATGTAATCGATGAATTAGCAAAGGCCGGTGATGTTGGTCCAGAAGTAGCCCTGCCCAATACCCAATTCTCTACCACCACCACTTCTCCATCCACAACATCTGCACCAACTTCTGCATCCACTTCTACCACATTACAGTCGGGCATCACATACATCAAACAAGAACTTCCTGATACTAAAGTATCACATCAGAATATTTCACCCGAAACAAAACCTCGTTTAACTAACATGAGGCTTTGTGAAATTAAAGTTGAGCCTACAGCTGAACCTGTGTTCTCAATCAACATGAGTAGTGCAGATATTATGAGTGGATGCAAGGGTCGAGGAGCTAGTGTCCGTAATACGAGTATGGTTTCAGACAAGCAGCTACCTCCAGCATTGCCAGAGCCCCCTAAAGTAAAACTGAACAAGGAGCAGCTTTTACCGAATACACCTTCAGTACTTTTAGACAACAAAAAACTAGCCTTCTCACCACAGTTGCAAGAGTTTTGTCTTCAGCATCCAATAGCTGTTGTGCGAGGCTTGGCATCTGCACTTAAATTAGATTTGGGGCTCTTTTCTACAAAAACTTTAGTTGAAGTAAATCCAGAACATTCAGTTGAGGTACGAACTCAGTTGAAGCAAGATGCAGATGAGAATATCGATTCTGCAACTGAAGCTAAAATATGGCCCTGTGCCAGTCACCGTTCTCACACCACAGTTGCAAAATATGCCCAGTATCAAGCATCTAGTTTTCAAGAGAGCCTGAAAGAAGAACAAGACAGAATTGCAGCAGGTGCACCAAAGACTGATGACAGTAAAAAGAAAAAAGTGCAAAAAATGATAAAGTTTGGCACGAATGTTGACTTGTCCGATGAAAAGAAGTGGCGTGCACAGCTACAGGAACTAATGAAGCTGCCAGCATTTGCAAGAGTAGTTTCTGCGGGAAACATGCTCTCTCATGTTGGGCATTCCATCCTGGGCATGAATACCGTGCAACTTTACATGAAGGTAAATAATGTGTGTGTGTGTGTATTTTTTTTTTCAACATGTCGACCGCATCTCACCGAGGCAGGGTGACCCAAAAAGAAAGAAAAAAACTTTCATGATCATTCAACACTTTCACCATCACTCATACATAATCACTATCTTAGCAGAGGCATTCAGATACTGCCAATATCCTAAACCCCTCCTTTAAAGTTCAGGCATTGTGGTTCCCATTTTCAGGACTCGGGTCCAGCCTGCCGGTTTCCCTGAATCCCTTCATAAACTTTACTCTGCTTACACTCCAACAGCACATTAAGTCCTAAAAAGCATTTGTCTCCATTTGCTCCTATCTAACATGCTCATGCATGCTTGTTGGAAGTCCACAAAACGTCCTTTACCCCCTCCAACCTTTGCTAGGCCAACCTCTACCCCGCCTTCCCTCCACTACAGATACATACACTCTCTAAGTCGTTCTACTTTGTTCCATCCTCTCTACATGTCCGAACCACCTCAACACCCCCTCCTCGGCCCTCTGCATAATAGTTTTGGTAATTCCGCACCTCCTAATTTCCAAACCACGAATTCTCTGCATTATATTCACACCACACATTGCCCTCAGACATGATATCTCCACTGCCTCCAGCCTTCTCCTTGTTCCAACATTCACTACCCATATAAGAGCGTTGGTATAACTGTATTCTCATACAGTCCCCTCTTTGCTTCCATGGAGAAAGTTCTTTGTCTCCACAGACTTCTCAGTGTGCCACTCACCTTTCTCCCCTCAACAGTTCTTTGATTCACCTCATCTTTCATAGACCCATCTGCTGACACGTCCACTCCTAAATATCTGAATACATTCACCTCCTCCATACTCTCACTCCAACCTGATACCCAATCTTTCATTACCTAATTATTTTTGTTATCCTCATCATCTTGCTCTTTCCTATATTTACTTTCATTTTCTTCTTTTACATACCCTACCAAACTCATCCACCAACCTCTGCAACTCTTTTCAGAATCTTCCAAAATCACAGTGTCATCAGCAAAGAGCAAGTGTGACAACTCCCACTTTGTGTTAGATTCTTTATCTTTTAACCCCAAACCTCTTGCCAACACCTGACCATTCACTTCTCTTAAAACCCCATCTATAAATATATTGAACAACCATGGTGACATCACACATCTATGTCTAAGGTCTGCTTTTGCATGGAAATAATCTCCCCCTCTCCTAAATACTCTTAACCTGAACCTCACTATCCTCATAAAAACATTTCACTGCTTTCAGTAACCTACCTCCTATTCCATACATTTGCAGAATCTGCCACATTGCTATCCTATCCACCCTGTCATATATATATAGTATATATATATATATATATATATACATATATATATATATATATATATATATATATATATATATATATTATATATATATATATTTATATATATATATATATATATATATATATATATATATATATATATTTATATATATATATATATATATATATATATATATATATATATATATATATATATATATATATATATATATATTTATATATAAGGCCTTAGACAAGGATGTGTGATGTCACCGTGGTTGTTTAATATATTTATAGATGGGGTTGTAAGAGAAGTAAATGCGAGGGTATTGGCAAGAGGCGTGGAGTTAAAAGATAAAGAATCACACACAAAGTGGGAGTTGTCACAGCTGCTCTTTGCTGATGACACTGTGCTCTTGGGAGATTCTGAAGAGAAGTTGCAGAGATTGGTGGATGAATTTGGTAGGGTGTGCAAAAGAAGAAAATTAAAGGTGAATACAGGAAAGAGTAAGGTTATGAAGATAACAAAAAGATTAGGTGATGAAAGATTGGATATCAGATTGGAGGGAGAGAGTATGGAGGAGGTGAACGTATTCAGATATTTGGGAGTGGACGTTTCAGCGGATGGGTCTATGAAAGATGAGGTGAATCATAGAATTGATGAGGGAAAAAGAGTGAGTGGTGCACTTAGGAGTCTGTGGAGACAAAGAACTTTGTCCTTGGAGGCAAAGAGGGGAATGTATGAGAGTATAGTTTTACCAACGCTCTTATATGGGTGTGAAGCGTGGGTGATGAATGTTGCAGTGAGGAGAAGGCTGGAGGCAGTGGAGATGTCATGTCTGAGGGCAATGTGTGGTGTGAATATAATGCAGAGAATTCGTAGTTTGGAAGTTAGGAGGAGGTGCGGGATTACCAAAACTGTTGTCCAGAGGGCTGAGGAAGGGTTGTTGAGGTGGTTCGGACATGTAGAGAGAATGGAGCGAAACAGAATGACTTCAAGAGTGTATCAGTCTGTAGTGGAAGGAAGGCGGGGTAGGGGTCGGCCTAGGAAAGGTTGGAGGGAGGGGTAAAGGAGGTTTTGTGTGCGAGGGGCTTGGACTTCCAGCAGGCATGCGTGAGCGTGTTTGATAGGAGTGAATGGAGACAAATGGTTTTTAATACTTGACGTGCTGTTGGAGTGTGAGCAAGGTAACATTTATGAAGGGATTCAGGGAAACCGGCAGGCCGGACTTGAGTCCTGGAGATGGGAAGTACAGTGCCTGCACTCTGAAGGAGGGGTGTTAATGTTGCAGTTTAAAAACTGTAGTGTAAAGCACCCTTCTGGCAAGACAGTGATGGAGTGAATGATGGTGAAAGTTTTTCTTTTTCGGGCCACCCTGCCTTGGTGGGAATCGGCCAGTGTGATAATAAAAAAAAATAAAATTTAT